CCTTTGTAAATCGAAGACCTTCTTCGAAGCTTGTTGATCTTGCTTTTCTCTTGGCGAGTACATTTCTCTTTCTTCTCACATGGCTTCATCGGAAAATTTGGCACAAGAATCTCTTTGACATGACGCTTAACCCGCATTTGTTGTCTCATCCTCATCCGATCGGACATCTCTTCGTCTTCACTTGAAGAATCAGTAGCATCAGGATCATTGACAATTATGCGAATTTTCCTCACTGATTGCAAATTCTTTTGTTTTATCAATCTGGTTTTCTTGGGTTCATTCAAAATTTCCCTTGGCTGGCCTAGCATTTCAGTCACGACAAGATTTTGGTTCTCTTTTTTTTCAAATGAAGAAAACTCCATGGAAAGAGAAAAATCCTTTGAACCCACACAAAGCAGAAAAATTGGGAATCTTCTTAATCAAGAAAACCCAAAAAATTTTAAACCCCTTAAACCCCAAATCAAAGAAGAGAAATTTTGCCTTATGTCATCAATGAAGCACTGTAAACAATAGCAATTCCTGCACCAAACCCAGAAAAAAAAAAGAAAAAAAAAAAGTAAACCAAGATCATAAGCCTAAACCCTACATAAACCCTGATATAAATTCATACAATGAAAATGAGAAAAGTCAATAAAAAACAAACAAATAACATACCAGAATACATCTGTGAGATTGACTGCATGGAAGATGCAGAGAAAATCTGGTTCTTGCTCTGCTAGATAGAACAGAACTGCTTGGAAAACCCAAATGAGGAACAAAAGAAAGAAAGAAAACAGAGAGAAACAGAGACAGAGGATAACCAGAGCTTCTCTACAGCTCCAGTGATCAACAGATCAAACCTAGACCTCATAAATTCTCTGTGTTTCCTCGGTGAAATCTTCTCCGGCCAGAGAGAAAACTAAAATGAAATAGCCAACAAAAACCCAAAACAAAATCATGTCAATAAAATTCTTCCAATCATTCAAACATCACAACTCCATGACTACAAAAATCTGAAATCCGATATGAATATTCGGATAAAAAACTGAAAAGACAAAAACATAAATCAATTTGCAATCTTCTCAAAATTTAAAATTAAAAAAGAAGTGATCCTTACCAGAAGTAATGTAATGAGACTCTGTTTCTCTCCTCTGTGGTTGAGTTGTCTTCCTCTATTTCTCTTTCAAAAGATCTTCTCACTCTCTGTATCTCTCTCCTCTATCTCAAATAGAGATTCATTGGACACTATAAAAAAAGGTACCTATTCGACAATAACTTTACTACCAAACTAAGTGAGTTTTTTTTCGTATTCTCCTTACCGTTCGATCAGTTAAAATAAATATTATAATTTGGTAAGATTAAATTTAACGGTAGATATAGTAACACGTTATATAATTTATTTTATTACTATTATACTAATATTTTGTTTTAAATATATACATAAAAAACGC